CTCTCTCTCTCTCTCTTATAGCGATGGATTATTACGATCTATCCTACGGCCGAGTGGGTGCGCCGTTACAGGGAGTGCGAGTCAAGTTTATCGACTGGGAAGAGGTCAGTTTGAAAAAACAATTTGAACTCTATTGTTTTGTCTATTTCAAACTTACTATAACTGTTCCCCCGATCATTAGGGTGGGTATTACCGCACGGATCGGCCGAACCCCAGGGGCGAGATAGCGATTGGCGGCGATTCAGTGGTCACCGAATACTATAAACTCGGCGAACAGACTCGGGAGGCGTTCCGGACGGACAAACAGGGCGTGCGTTGGTTTAACACCGGCGATATCGGCCAGATGTTTGCCGACGGCACCATTGCGATCATTGATCGGCGCAAGGATTTGTTTAAATTACAGAATGGTCAATATGTTTCGCTTGAAAACGTAAGTGCACTGTATATTGGCGGGGGTGGGGGGAGGGACAGACTCCGCATAAATTTCAATTTAAACTTGGTGTATGAGAGAGAGAGAGAGAGAGTACATAAAATTAATTTTTAATAACTTGATCGTTTCAGATCGAGGCGGCCCTAAAGTCGTGCCAATACGTGGACCACATATGTGTGTGTGGGGGCGACTATAGCAACGAGTTGACGGCACTGGTCAGCCCAAATCGAGCGAATCTCCATAAACTGGCCAAAGAGTTGGGCATTAAGGGGTCAGAAGTGGGCGACCTGTGTGTTAACCCTCATCTTCGGGAACGGATCTACGCGGCGATCGTACGGACGGGACAGTCGGCCGGTATATCAACAAAGGAGATACCGGTGCGCATACATCTGGTGCCGGACGAGTGGTCGCCCGACAACGATATGATGACCGCAGCCATGAAAATGAAACGCAAAACTGTGGAGAGAGTGTATCGCAACGAAATTGTGTCATTATTTGACTGCTAATAACATTTTTAATTGTATTATTTTTATATTTGAGAGTAACAGCCATATAATTACAACCATATTAAAACGAGATATACCGAGATTATAACACTAACAAGCAACCCGTATACTATTATTGTTTGTTATAAATAAAATGACATTTAATCTTTTATTTGTATAAAAATCATTGAATAACTTATTGTCAGTTAATTATAACAAAAATGTTTCGTAAATTGCATATTAAGGAAACAACAATGAACTCATCGATGGTATCGGTTGTGACTGATATTGTGTTGGAAGCCATCGATCGGTCATACGGTTTGATTGACACCGAAGACCGTATAAAAGCTCAAATGGCGACCCGATATCCGGATATAAGATGGGAGTGTTGTTCGCCATACAATTGCAGCAGGTGTTCGAAAAGTCACTCGACCTGAACGCCACGTTCGGCCAAATCAAGTGCCTAACTGTAGGCATGTTTAAGGCGTACGCCGGCGGCGATCACGAGCCCATACGCCAGCAGTTGAGCAACGCTTTTTCATTGAGACCCTTATTAATACTGTTTTGCATAAATATTGTATTTTTTAATTGAATATTATGCAAAACAATATTAATAATGCTATTCAATAAATCTATAATATTAATGATATTGTTAGATGTGTGTCAGCCATACAACACACTCTAATCAATCCAGGTAACTCAGCTCGCACCTTAAATAATTACCTAGCTAGTTAACACTTCAACCTGCACAAATTAATCCACCTTGGTCAAATAATCTAATGAATAATAAGACACAATTAAAGTAACTAGCACAATTTTATTTATTCAATCAAAACTTGATGTTGACAGTTTGGTGGCTGCTGTGCGAGTGTCGCACTTTGGGCACAGGTATGGGAGGGTCTGTGCCAGTGCGGGTGCGCCCGTCTCAACCCTTCACTGCCACCAAATTAGGCAATGTTGGGCGTACGGCAAATCCACACTAACAATATCTTATTTTATTTTACTATTATATAACACTATGAATGATTATTTTTTAATTTGTCGTAAAATTAAAAATTAGCGTTGGCATTTTATTTAGGTAAAAATACAACAATTATGTATCTTTTTAATATTATTTAATTTTTTAAATAAATAAATTAAAAATAAGTTTATTAAATTATTGCGTTAAAATTAAAAACAATTTAAAAAACAATCTTAAAATACAAGTTTAACTACTACTAGTTGTGAACAATAATTTTAATTATTTACATTTTGGTAATTGCCATATTGATAACTCAAAACATTTAATATTTTCTACCAGAAATAATAAAAGAATTAAATGGAACCTATCTAAATATTAATTATATTTTTGCTCTACCTTAATGTTTATAATATATTATGATTTTATTAATTTATTTTAATTAATTTTTCTGCTAAATAACTATTTATATGGAGATAAATAACAATGTTTTAATCATTAAAATAATAAATATAAGACATTTTAACTAAGACTGGTCAGTTTGGTCATTTAAAGCTAAAATATAGTAGTAGTTTTAAAAATAATATTTAATAAAATGCTTATACTGTAACAATTAAATACACATCGAAATAACTTATTACAGCTTTATTACTTGAAATAAAAATAGATTAATTGTGTAAAATTTATAAATATATTTAAAAAACAATTCTAGACTTTAACATAAAATAGTTTGGAAAAAATCTGTTGACAGTCATTGCAATATATGGGTTTAAATTAAATTTAAATTGATTTATTTAAAACTTTGCAAAAGATATTAAATAAAATCTATTTAATAATTTTAGAAACAATAAAAAAATATTATTATGATTATTATTATTCGTGCTAAAAACTGATGATTAATTGGATATAGAATAAATGTTGAAAAAGGGGTTCAACCGCAACACACCTAACACCCATCACTCCTACAACCTGACCCCATACGGCCAACACCTCTATTGTTTAGCGTAAGTACGGACAGAGACAACTTTGCCCACCGATGCGGTCACTTTCATTTCGTTGTCATTGAACTCGCGCACAATTTTCACTTCTTTTTTACCGTGTTGGGTCTGGATCAGTTTGTTGCCATCGGCCACCACCACGGTCTAATTTAAAACAAATATAAAAACTATAAAAATTATTATACTAGTTCAATATAGCGCATATCAGGTTGTTCAGAAATTAATGTTCATTTCGGCCATAACTCAAAAACCAATCAAGATAATTTGAATCTGTCTTCAGATTATAATAGTCACCTTTTAAACCTATTTCACTGATTTCATTTTCTTGTAATTGTCCTGGGCTGATAACGGGGGTGGGGGGGAGGGACAGACTCCGCATAAATTTCAATTTAAACTTGGTGTATGAGAGAGAGAGAGAGAGAGAGAGAGAGATGTGGATAAAAATTTAATTCAAAGAATCTATTAAAATATTAATATATAAATTATTTGTAATAAAATAATAATAACTGCCGTTTTGGATGCACCGTTATGTTTACTTGTGCTGGTTTACTCGCTAAGATTGGGCCTCGCCATTGATATAGACTGAGTGTTGCAAAGTTTTCAAAACTATAAATTGTAATTATATTTAATTTTTTTAAAATAAAATACAGAAAAATACAGGAATTTTAGGTACATTTTCACTTTTATACAGGATATCCAATATATTTTCTGGCAACGCTAATTGAAAAGTTTATGTTTTATTTTTGGGGCTAAATTTTACAGCATAATAATCATGAAATAATATAATATATCAATATACAATAAACACTAACATTGCCTTTATACAATCATTTTATTTACTTGTGTCGTTTATTTTATTATGTATGTAGGGTGACCAACTGTCCTCTATTTAGAGGACAGTCCTCTATTTGGCTATATTTTAAATAATGTACTTTTATGAATTACTATGAAAACCAAGGTTAAAATTTGTGTCCTCTATTGGTCATAAATTTTTATTGTATGATTTCCTTTTTGTCCTCTAAAACTTATTGTAATGTCCTCTTTTCCAAAATGGAAGTTGGTCACTCTACATGTATGTAATTTAGGCATAGGCATTATTATAAAAAAAAACTGCTCAAGCGATCAAAGCTCGTGGTCGAGATCACCAAAAATGGTGATATCTATACCCTCAAGACAATCACCCTCACCAAGACGAGCGAGATCGAGTTAGACAAGGAGTTTAAGGAGGAGCTCATGGATAGCACTATTGTCAATGTGATTTATTGTATTATCTACCCTACACTAATCCAACTACCATTATGACATATCCGCTTGGCATCTCTACCGTTATGTTCTATAATAGTCTAGAGATGTAACTTTTTTTATCTATCACTAAATAACTGCCCTATTAAACTATGAATATGTCTACGAGTATAATAATTGTTTTTATATGTGTTTTGAATTAGACCGTGGTGGTGGCCGATGGCAACAAACTGATCCAGACCCAACATGGTGACAAAGAGGTGAAAATTGTGCGCGAGTTCAACGGCGCCGAACTCAAAGTGACCGCATCGGTAGGCAATGTGGTCTCTGTCTGTATCTACGCTAAACAATAGGGGTGTTTGCCGTATGGGGTCGGGCTGTATGGGGTTAACCCTATTTAACTCATACGTCTCCTTAACCATCTGTGTTTTCCGCACAAATAATAATTAATATTTTTTATCGTCTCTCAAATTTATAAATCGTTTTTATATATAATAAATAACTCATAGAAAGTGTTTTTATCCCAAAAATGTATAATTATTTAATTAATTAATTAATTGATTATTTAATTGTTAATTAATTGAAATTAATTACTATTTGATACAAAATACATTGTGTGTGTGTTTTACCATGTGTTTTTTATCTCGATCTTTACTAATTATATATTTTTTGTGCGAAAAGTTATAAATAAATAAAAATTGATTTTTTTATCCCATTGGGTTTATATCAGTAAAGCCCACTCGGGCAAATTTTCGGGCAAATCTGTATTATCATTTATGTACGACATGGTATTCCCTAATACATTCATATATCAGATATAATGATTGTACAACATCTACGTTGATCTAAAAGATGTCTTTGGACATTCCTGGTTTATATATTTGTTACCAACTTTTAACTCACTCATCCCCTTCCCCCTATAGAACACAACCGTTGATACCTTGTTCAAGCATATACTGATTGCACATATAGTGTGCCATAATAATGTACAAACTGCTAAAATTGATGCTTAAATAGTGTACATTATTTTGTAAACTACATGTATTTTAAAATGACATTGTTCAGTTCCAAAAGGGTGACCATAAGTATCGCAGAAATGTGAATTGTGTTGGTTTTTTTTTAATTTTAAATGCAATAATAAATGCTCATGATTAATCTAAATGATTTTAAATAATGACACAGTTTATTTGACTAAATAATACTGTAATCCCGCCAATAAGTGGCCTACGGTTAAGGCGCGTAATTAAATGTAACTTTTTATTCATTATACTCAATATAATTCAATGTAAAAAATGGACAAGATAATGCAATAATCAAGTGACAATTGCATAAAATCATTGGTATTTTTGGTATTTATACTTTTGATTAGTATCATATAATACCAAAAACACATTATATGTATGAATTAGTATAATTAAAATAAATTCATTCAAAAAACACTATTTAATTTATAGAAAGCAAATAACATTTTACAATTATTGTAATATTAACATAAATTTCAAATATTATCTAAGGCCAAAAAGGCATTATTAATAAAAATTCCTTGCTTATCTGACTAAATGCCATAACCAATAATTATGTTATAAATTCATTTTCAATGAAGGTTTTTGGGTAAATACTAGTTAACTTGGTGTAATAAACATTGCAATAAATATAAAAATATATTAAATAAATGTAAAATTTTGCTAAAAGTCAGTGTTTATCCATTTAAAAACAAAACTATTACTTTTTTTCTTAATAATTTATAAATATGAATATCTAAATTTCAATATAATTTTTATAAATGAATTAATATGACGTGATTAAAAATTTATTATTCCTTTTACATATAATTTATAATAAACAATATTTTTTATTATTAAGTATAGCGCAGTAAGTATTAAATTTAAGTACCATTATTTCATCACAAGGTATTTAGTTTAAGAACTTGCATATGATCACGTAGGTCCTAAGTTAACATTATAAGTGAGCATAAAATATATGCCTAATAACTGTTAATCTATGACGATCATATTATTTCCAATATTATTAGTAATTGTTTATAATTAACTCATAAAGAATGGAAACGGCGTTCGAGACGGCGATCGCGTGGACAGACCTAACAGTTAGTGTCCGGTCGGGAGTGTTGTCGGCCGGGAATGGGAAGCGTATATTGAACTCTATTTCGGGCGCGTTTAAGGCGCGGGCGTTGAACGCCCTGATGGGC